ATACCACATGGCTGCTGAACTCCCACCTCATCTAAGATTTCAATTCGACACAGCTAAAGAAATAGCAAAATGTTTTGCATACAATCTACCTGCCAAAGAGATATTAACAAAAAATATATTCATAAACACCAGCTATACCAAAACATACCAGACATTCCAAAATATATTCAATAATATATAGACCCAAATGTGAACAAACAAACAAAATACAAACCCAACTAAAATTTTTTCCAAGAGGCAAAAGCAAATCATCAACGTCTAAAGAAATTACTCTACAAATATAAAAAAAAAATAGAAAAATTAAAAACCGATGAAATTGAAATAATTTATACTGATGGATCAATCAAAGAAAACTTTACAGGAGCAGCGTTTCACCATGAAGCACGAAAAATTACAAAAAGTTTTTACATCAACGAAGTACTTTCATCAATGACAGCTGAACTAATAGCAATTGATAAAGCCATAAATTATGCTATTGATAACAATTTCAAAAAAGTCGCGATATTAATAGACAGCCTCAGCGGTTTAATGGCCATTGAAAACAAGCACAACAACTTTATCATTAACAGCATTATAACGAAAATTAATAACAGTTTAGATTCGATCGAATTTCATTACATACCAAGCCATACCGGCATTAAAGAAAACGACACCGTGGATGTAGCAGCAAAAAACGCGAAGGAAGCCGGACAAGAAACTTATTATAAACTCACTTTGAATGACAGTTACATTAAAATATACCAAATAATAAACCAAAAATGGCAAACGCAGTACTCAAATCAAACACAAACTAAAGGAATAAATTATGGCCTTGTTTTCCCCCTGATAAACAAGAAACCATGGTTTTCCCACAAAGCTTTCAAATCCAAAAAATCTACAAACATCAAAAAGATCAACAAAATAATAAGCGGACACGGTTTCTGCAAAGTAACGCTAAACAAAATGAACATCCAGGATGAAATAAATTGCGATATCTGCAATGTACCTGAAAATATCGACCATATAGTTTTTGAATGTAATAAATACAACACTGCAAGAGAAAAATTCCCAACCTTATGTCAAACTGACTCGCTTGTAAACTTCATGAACGCAGGAAGTTACAATCAACTATTAAAATTTGCATAAATTTATTAAAGAAACTGAACTAGACGTATAAATAAGCACAAACATAAAACGAATTAGTCGTGGCGTTATAGCTTCATTAGAAGCAGGGCCAATAACATAAATCAACAAACAAACAAACAAACAAGTCAGAAAATTTACACAATATGGAGGAAGAAATAATTGCTTTTTATTTATGTGCGAAAAAACTCGAAGCTGAAATAAGGTATCTTTTATTAAATTAATATTTTTAATGAATAAACGTAAATAACAATTTTTTTGTCTTATAGAAATGCCCAGAGGTGAAATCTAAAATGTTTGCGTGATAAAGAAGATCCGTTTGCACTGGATGAAAATACTTTCAGGGACTTCTTTAGACTTCCAAAATCTTTATGCTGGGACCTTATCCAGGGCTTAAAACCGCACGACAGCCGCAAATTTGGAATTTCATTTGAGCTTCGAGTAAGTTAATTTGGAATATTAATGTAGAATCGCGGCACTAAACGTTCCTTTGATTTTAGTTTATTTCAGTTTTGTACTTTCTCTCCAATGGATCGTATCAAAGCTGTGTGGGAAGTGGTCACTTCTGTGCTATGAGTCAAGCTAGTGTTTCACGCAATATTAATTATATTTGCAGACTTGTAGTCGAACACAAACATAGTGAAATTAGCTTTCCCAATACGACTGAACAATACAACAATATAATAAATAATATAAAAAAAAAACTTTTTAATATACAACGCTTTTATAAATGGACTAAAAAGTAGAAAATAATACTTCTCAGTCCCATAGAATTTGTTTTGATAACTTTTGATTTTGAAATTTTAGCAAAAGTCATTATAAACAATCTATGAAATTGAAAATGAAAAACGTGGAGCGCATGCAATACAAAGCATTCGATTTAATTGACAATAGTCAAACTACACAACGTAGACCTAAAATTTCTACAGCGAAAGTAGAACTTTGAAATCGATTTTATGCGGTCGTTATTCATATACCCACATACATACATTCATATATTACTTTTCTTATCAATTCAAGTGTATTACATGCGCCCCACGCTTTTCATTTTCAATTTCATAGATTGTTTATAATGACTTTTGCTAAAATTTCAAAATCAAAAGTTATCAAAACAAATTCTATGGGACTGAGAAATATTATTTTCTACTTTTTAGTCCATTTATAAAAGCGTTGTATATTAAAAAGTTTTTTTTTTATATTATTTATTTTCTACTTTTTAGTCCTGTCTGAATAAAAGTTTGCAATAGATATTAAAATAATTCAACGATATTAATAGAAAGGTGCACACACATGCATTTACATATGTATGTACATACAAACGAGCACCAATTAAATTTATTTAAAGAAATGGCGTGTCGTCTATTTCCGGTGTAGCAAACGTAGTACATAGGGCGACATCTAGATGTCATCTACCTCCCCCTATTCACTATGCTTTTTTATAGGAGCTTTTCAAAGCTTTGCTTTATGGTGTCGGACACACAACATTGAAAGTTTCTGGAACACAACATTGAAAGTTTCTGGAACACAACAGTGCAAGTTGATAAAAGCGTTGTAAAAAGAGGGTAAGTTGTGTATTCAATCTAACACATAAATATATGAAAAGCACAACAAGTTCGGCATAAAGGGCGTAATTGGTGCAATAGACTGCACTCATATTGCCATACTTGCGCCTGTTTCGTTAACACCAAATATTGTGGCTCATGATTACATGAATCGCAAGGGATACTATAGTGTTAATGTTGAAGCGGTAAGTATACATACATATACATATGTACATATGCAAACGTTTGTGTAAAAAGTATTACAAATATGTAGTATTTCGCAGTTAATAAATAAATCCACCCTTTCCATAGGTTTGCGACCAGGACCTCATCTTCCGCCACATTAATGCTCGCTTTCCTGGTTCATGTCACGATTCCGGCATATGGACGACATCACCAGCAAGAATAAAATTAATAAGGGAATATTCTCCTGGTTCTTTTAGGTGGCTTCTTGGGGACTCTGGCTATCCCTTAGAGCCATGGCTTCTAACGCCTATTGCCAACCCTTCATCACCCAGTGAAAACCAGTTTAATAAAGTGCATATAAGGGCGAGGAACTGTATTGAGTGAGCCTTTCGCTGCTTATCTATGGAACGAGTGCTCAAATATTCACATTTAAATGTTGGATTTTTTGTATATACTTGTGCAATATTTCACAATATGTTGCAAAAATGTGGCATTTATATAGATGAAGACGGTAGCGTATCTCCTGAAGACCAGCCTTTTCATGACTCCCTCAATACAGTCGAACCGACTCAGTACTACTCAAAAGGGAAAAGAGCTCGCCAAACATGCTTAAACGCATTAGCAACGTTAAACTTAAAAATAGTATTTGTAAAGATGATCTTATATACTATATTCTAACATTCATTAATTTTCACATAGTTAACTCATATAAAACCAGGTCAAGTGATGCAGGAAAATTCCGGCAATTCATGGATTTTTCAAAGATGTACAGTCAGTGTCAAGTGTAAGTGTACACCTTGTTCTAACACATTCTGAGATAGGGTGCTTTTCAATCAAATTCTGAAATAGGGTTTTGTTGAAAAAATTCCTGAGATAGGGCGTTTTCGAATTGGCTGCCGAGATAGGTCGATCTAGGTAGATAGGTCTTCCACTCAGCCATCGATATATAGTTCATTCTTTAACATAAACAATACAAATAAAAGTTTCACACTTTATATAAAGTTCGCAAAAAGTCGAACAATTTTCATTAAAATTTCAAAATTGTTATTTCTAGAAAATTTTTGAGTATTTTTAAACAATGAAAATTGTACCAAGGATTGGCATTTCGACCACACCATCAATCACGGCTGCCCCGAACGTATCTAGTGCTTGCTGCTCAAAGGCTTGCTATCAGCCTTTGCCTTTCGTGCCTTGGAGCGGACCTGATTTTTCCAATGGCTCAGGCACTGAAAATACAGTTTTTATATGTTACATTCAGTATTTTAGTTGGATATGGTTTAGTTATTTGCCCAATGATTTCAGGCTATTGTGTCCGAATTGGTCACCCGACCAAAAAGTTTTTAAACACTTTTAGTCAAGGGTATACACTTTATACTGTTTATCGAGTTTACATTTCCGGTGTCAAAATGCTAATTTTAGCCCATTTTCCAATGGTTCCCCAGGGGTCTGTAGAAGGTTTCGAGGGATCAGGTATGACCTTTTATAAAGTATGAACTGTGCTTTTTCTTGTGCGTTGGATATTAAGACCCACGCCATGCGCTTGTGATGGCATTAATTGATTGTTGAGTTTGGCGAAATTCAAAGGATTTCTAAAAAATCTATACGCTTAAAAGTAGTAAATAAAAAATGTAACAAATATATTCTTATGAAGGCTTTTCAAAAACGAAATTTTTTATATTTTTAATGAATTTCACTGCTTATTAAATGCGTTTAAAACCTATTTTTGCATGTTATTGATAAATGAATGTTTGTTGGACTTTTTTATCATCTCCCACTGGGACATGCTATCCACTGACTGTCTCTGTTTGTTTTCACCACAAATTGTTGGTGAATTTTTTGTGACTCCCTCTCACTGAATAGCCAAATCATCTCAAGTCACAAAAATAGTTACTAATTGCTAGTCTCAAATCTAGTGACTTGAGATGAGATTGATTTACTGAATCCCGGGGTAAAACTTACTTGTGGAACGTGTATGTGTAACTCGAAGTGACTTAGAGTAGCTTGTGGAACAAACCTAATAATAGGTAATACGTATGACATATTTGAATACCAATCATGGGATCATTTCCACTTTCAGTGTTTAAATAGTTAAAGAATTCTTAACATTTCATTTTAAAATAACTTTTAATTTGGAGTTCGCATTCAAAAGTTTTATTTAGAAGTCGCTTTGATTCCTAATGGAAGTTGTAAATAAACTCCGAACCCATGTATGTAATCGGAAAAGATGGTATCCATTTCAGTGGCCGCAAAGTAAAAATTAGAGCCCGTAGCTATATCAAGATTAACACGAAAACTGTGCTGGAATGTCGCCGAACCCTACTGCAGATGGCTAAACAGAGCAGTTTGAATCTCGTTTGCTTTCTAGAGGTGCAAAACTATCGATAGTCAGGCCATCGATAGTTTTCGATATTATTTTCAAAACTATCGATATATCGTCGATAGTATCGTATTTATATGGTTTTGGCTCAATTTTCGTATGAAGATTTCCTTAAGAATATATTCCGAAATTACGTTTCGATAACCTTGTAAACTGCTGACACTTTTTTAATTGTTTAACCGTTAAGTTAGAAGTAAAGTTATTGAAAACTTAAATTGAGTTGAAATGGAATAAAATTGGGCGTACTGAAATTTTATATTTGTGGTTTTCGATATCCTCCGTCATATATAAGACATTCATTTTTTATCTGAGAGGTAATGGTTTTTATCTACCTTTTATTAAATAGTAGATAGATAATATTGAAAGTTTTGGTATAAATTAATTTGTATCAGTTTTTTTAGCAGTATTTTAAAAGATGCAAGGTTTTCCGTCATTTTCGAAATTTGACATTACTCTTTTAAAAAAATAGCAACCAAATTTTTAGTTCAACTTGGATATTTAAGAGAAATGAAAAGAAAAGAAGAAATAAAACTAAAATAAACACTGAATCACATGTCTGTCGGACTATCGATAGGACCAAAAAACAATCGATAGTAGGGAAAAATAAAAAAACATCGATACTATCGATAGTGCCATCGATAGTTTTGCATCTCTATTGCTTTCCCTATCACAGAGATTTGTATAGAAGAACAAACCTGCAGGGGATGAGGGAACCATTAGCAAATAAAAGATGGATACTGAGCACGACATGCGGGATATCTAGGCAAACGTGGACTAGATGAATCGAAAAAAAACCTCGAAGTTTACATTTGTTGAAAGCAGAGAAGTTATCCAACACCAAGAGCTCAAAACGGCCCTTATCTTATAGGTAAACATGCGGAACAGCTCAGAGTGCCGGTTTGCTGATGATGCACAAGCTTCAAATACTAGGAGGAAGGGGAGACAATTCCTCATATCTTCAGTAATACAGTATATTTTGCTTTGCTGTCTTTATACTTATGTGCACATTTAAGATAACTACCCCTAAATGCGCATCAGCTGCATTAATTTTAACATTTATGTATAAGGAAACTGCTCCAATAGGTGCATTCAACATATCTGCACATTAGCCATACCTACCATAAACATTATGCAACTATTATCAATTATCAAAGAAAGTATTACTTTACCTGTACTGGCTCTACACTTACCCCAATTTTACAAGCATTCATTTATTTTGCGGCGGCCGCTGTGGTGTAGTGGTAAGCAGTGGTCAAAGCAACATCGCAAAAATATAGAAAAGGTTTTTTCTTAACAGCGGTCGTCCCTCGGCAGGCAATGGCAAACCTCCGAGTGTATTTCTGCCATGAAAAACAGCTTCTCATAAAAACACAATCGCCGTTCGGAGTCGGCGTAGAACTGTAGGTCCCTCCGCTTTGTGTGACAACATCGCACGCCACAAATTGGAGGAGAAGCTCGGCCAAACACTAACATATGTGTAATCGCCAATCTATTATTATTTTTATTATTCATTTATTTTGCTCATCTTGCAGAATAACGAAAAACGGCTATCATTTTATGTAGTTATATAGACAGTTAAATACCATACGGAAAAAACTTCGTTTGCAGTAATATCTACGTGGTAAGTGCTCCTCCGTTATTTGGTTTCATAGGGATTCGGAAAACTTCCTCATTAAAGCATATGCTTTTTTCGGTTAAGCGCACAAGTTCTTCGTGTAAAGAAGGAAGGACAGCTAAGCCAAATATACTGTAATCCTACACTCTCCAGGAGCAGGTTGCGTCAATTTGGGTCACATTTCTTTGACGAAGTACGAGTGAGTGACCCAAAAAAGTTCAGAAAGGGGGAGTGCAATTTTTCCAGTTGGGGGCACAGAGGCGTTCTGCTTTAGGGCACCTATCTATTTACCTACTATCTAGCCTTTTCTCAACTTCACAACTTATCTAAATGGATGATTGAATGGCGAGAGGTAGGGTGGCTGGAAGGAGTAGTGCAAGGATAGATCGAAGCTTTGTGTAAGGGTTGATGGGAAGAGTCTTCTGTCACGAGCTCTCTAGACTGTTGCAGCAGTTTTAAGAGTCTGCCCTTAGAAAAGAAGTGTACACACTGCACAAGGGTGTGAAGTCGATAAGTGACGTAAGCAAATACTATGACAGTCCTGTTGCAATAAGGATGCTAAGCTCATAAATGCTCTCAATGCGTTGAAATAGACTTTTTATAATTGGAATGTCCTGCCGATCACAATTAGCAGGGCGTAGGTGTACAAATACACTACCGTGAGGCGAAACGCATACACAAAATCAGCTGATCTAGTAACGCCACCTTGCATGCAGCCCTTATTACTGAACAGTGGCACATGAATCATATTTATCGTGAATATTGGCATAAGTCAAAACTGTTTATGCTTTTAGGGGAAATAACGACATTTTTCGTATTGTGCCGTTGTTCAATAAACTAGTGGAGTTCCTTTCGTTCAGCTACTTAGGAGTTCATACTTTTTTCGTATTTTTTTCAGTCGAGCCTTTACTAAATCCTTTAGAAAAAATCATAATTTGAGTGCTTACATATTTTCCATACAGAGTCGCTGCAAATAATGTGGAATAATTACGTTCCAAGATATATTACATATTGCTAATTTACGAAACACAAAACCTTTAATTGGCTGAACTGAAAAATATTAAATTTTGGGTTGTGTCAATATTGCAGAGGACCATCGATTTGTACATATACCTAGAATGAAACCAATATTACACTGTGCGACACTAAAAAAATACCTGGGAAGTTATGTACATTTTTTGGTAGGTTTTTTCAAGTAAAACAAGACTCGAAATATGAAATTTGCCAAACACCCAAAATCTTGATTTACCGTTATAAAACTGTTTTTTTCGTACTTTTGCGCAGTTATAAGCCTGTAACTTAGTTGATTATGAACCAAGTTTCAGTTTATTGCCGGGTTTAAAAAGAAGAAACTTGGGCCTTTTGAACGATATATATGCAAAT